ATAGGAGGGCGGCATAGTTGCATCCACAGGCGTGATGAATCACCATCCCAACATCAGCACCATTACCACCAACAGGCAGTGGACAAGCCTAAAATTCCACACAACTGCTGTTGCGCATCCCAGCGAGAGAAACACTTGCCCATGATCCAAACACCTGTATGCTGGTGATTGTGAAACATTGCTGCAAGGCGTATGCAATAATGTGTTTGGTGCCCTTGTATCGCACTTAATTGTGGGTTTCTATTAGTAACGGTCTCCGACATGTGTTTAATTTGCTGGGCGAATTTTATTTTTTGCTATAGTAGTACTGATTGCAGTTACTCGAAGAGGAATTTCCTTTTGTTTAAACGTAAAATTAGGTGAGTGTAGATTGTGTTAATTTGTTTGCTGATAGATTGTTATTTGCTTCCATTAGAATAATTTGGCCGAAAATTAAAAGACTTTCTATGCATTTTTATTCTTTAGGCATCGGATTCTTCTGTTTTTGAGGTGAGCAAATGTTTTTAGAACTCGTATGATTTTTAAAATTTGAAGCGGAGTAATTAGGACAGCTGAATAAATTTTCCAGGCAGCAAAATTGAGGCGTGAGCTCGAACTCGCTCATCAAAAGGTAGCGGCACTGACCTGTCAACTATCCGCAAATGTGAGTTTTCATCTATTGTCATAATATTAGGCCGCAATAAAGCTCAGTTCAGGACTGCCGAATCAGTCAACGAAAGATCTCCACCGTGGAATTTAGAAACGGCATGTTTGTGACTTTAACTCGTGCTTTACTTTCAAATTCTCATCTATCTATGTTTGCGGGGTTATGGAGTCAACATTTTAAGTATCAATGAAAATTTAACGATAGGTCCTGCAATGGATCGATTCCCATGCTTTCCAGTTAATCGCATGTTTATAAAATGACCTTAATTTTGCTATCCAGGCAAGCGTTGTCCAAGCCTTTGAGCAGAGTCTCCAAAGCATGAATCAGCGGCTGCATCAACTTTCAGCCTCATCAGCACTTAAGGTGAGTCAAAACTTTAAAGTTCTTGCGCTTTTGTGCACGGAACAAGAACCCAGACTTAGCTTGAAATCGCTACAGTATATAATGCATTCGTGGTGTTTTAGAATCTGCCTTCAACACTACAACCGTAGTTGATGCGACAGCTATCTAATGCTTTTTAAATTTGCTAAAATAATTTTCCGATAATAGTGGGTTAATAAACAGCTAGCTATTCATCCTCGCATGGATTTGGTCTGTAAGATAAAATTTCGTAAACTATTTATTATTTCATGTTTGCATAGGAAAGGGAAGTACAAGAACTCAGGAAAATCATTGACAGATTTAGATGTCAGGCTCTACAGAATGACTGGCCTCCTACTATGGAGAATGGAAAAAATGGGAGGAACGGGAGAAAGCTTTCACAGTCTCAAGAGTTTGTTAAACCTCACCATATACTTGATTCAGGTTGGTTTGAACCTTTGGAACAAATCGAGTCATCTCAAGGGCTTCCATGAGGTACCTTAAGTATTTAAGAAGGCCATAGTATCTACAGGTTTTAAGGAAATGCGACTTCTTTCTTCCAATTCCACCTTAGAAAGTGGATGATTTGTTCATCAAGAATGACGTGCCAAATGAACTAACTGCATGAGTGCAAACCAAATGATCAGGTTTTGTAAACTTCACAATCTTCTCGATTTGAAGCAAAATATGCAGACAGTCACGTGGGCAACAAAAACTGAGATCAGGTTGTCGAAAAGCGCAACCTGCTAATTCGTCTCTTTAGTCCATAAATAATTCAGAACGCACCTGGATCAGAACTATGCAAAAAGCAGGATCCATAGCCCAGAAAAGATGTTAGGAGGTGAAAAAAATTGTTGATCTGTTCAGAATTTGCGGTCGGCTAGTCTCAATTAAGGTTAAACCATGGAGCTGTGCAGCGATGAAGACCTGCAATTCCATTTACCACTTGTTATCCCACCTCTACATTTAGTATATGATTAAAATGTTTTTTTCTGTAAAATTATTAACCGTTCTGAACAGTACCACTTCCACCTGCATTTTAGAAATACTACAACAAGCAGGCAGTCTTTCCAGCCTTGTGAACGGTCCCAATATGATTACTGGTGGTACCAGTGGGACGTATGGAGAGGTAGGCCGGTACCTTCTCGACTCCTCTGGTCATGGTTACATGTTACCCAGTTACATGCCTATTCGCGACTCCTTGGATCGAACCAATAAGAAGACAGGCTGGGTTCGTCAAACTTCATTCTAATTTCGGAATTTCGTGCAGCTATTAGGGAGCAATGCAAGGTACTGGAGGGGTGCAACAGTACTCAGATTCGATACCACTGCACTACGCGAGCATTTTGATCAGGTTTATTTTCACTTTTTGGAGATGGTCACTACAATGTTAGACTCATTGTTGGCGATGCTGTCAAACGGTTACAACTGTGACCAATGCAATTATTCAATGTTTGTTACTATCAATATGCTCCTTAGTTAAAATAGATTTCATCTATTTCGACACTCTTTTGTGCTCCAATTTTCGATTTGTTTAATTCTCGTGTTCCTTGTAGTTGCGTTCCTCTATCAATCGTGCTTTTCGACGCAGTAAAAGTCGTGATCCTCCTGATCGTATTAAAGTGACATCCACCTCATCGCAGGATACTAACTTCCCCAGTCCGAGCAGGTAGTTAGCAAAAACTGTTCCAGCTGAATCTTCACATTTTCCCCGTGTTTGCCTCAAAACACGTAGTTACTCGTGTTGGCGTCATACGAATTGGGTCATTTGGTTTTCTGAAGTGCCTCTCGCCTTTAGGTCATAGGTTAGGTAAAGCGACCGATCTTTGCTGGATTAGACAAGAAAACAAGTGGTGCTGGTCAT